AGTTCGGTGCTCACCTGAATGCTTGCAGGTCCCCACTCTACGAAGTTAACAAGCTTCCTTTCACGTATCCTTTGTAGGCTCTCATGGACCTAAATACATGAGATGACCAAAGTTAAGCACTGAAGAATAGATAAATCAACAGGATACATAAAAACCATCATTAAGCTCCAGTTAATTGCTACTGAGCAATAAATACCTAGTATGTAATATGTACAGCAATATATTTACAAAAAGGAATGCATGTACTCCCTCTGTAAAGAAATATAAGAGTGTTTAGATTACTACTTTAGTGATCTAAACGCTCTTATATTTCTTTACGGAGGGAATACGTGCTATTTTCACCTCTTGCAGGATAAACAAGAGCCTCTGAGGGATAAGTAAATACAATTGTTATTATGGCTCAATGTCATGATGAAAATCTACAGTGCTACATGTTTTTTAGGAACTTCTGATATATTGAAGTGGACAAACAGGGTTTGCTTCCTATGAATAAGGCGATGTGTAGTGCAAAGCCAAAGACATAAAATTTTACCTTTTTGACTGTTTTATGTGAATGCATAGTGCCACAATTGGCAATATCATAATTAAGTTGGCATACATAAGCAGTGAACGAGTAAATCTATTTGACAGAACTGTACCTGTGTTGGGTCCACCTCTCCTTGAATGATGTTAAGTATGGAGATGTATTTAGCCTGACTAGCTTCCTTGGTACGAGCGTAAGATGACACCATTATGTTCTTTGTCTGCAAGATAGAATAGATAAAAGGTTCAAACTCATGAAGACAAAGGAGATTAGGAAGCAACCTGGGGCAGGGGTAACATTACCTGCAGAAGTCGTCTCATAACATCTAATACCGTCGTCTTGCGTATCATGTTAACCTGCGGTGGCACACATACTCAAATCAGGTCAAGCATTTATCACCAAAAAAGGCGGAAAACAAAAATGTAGCAAGTCTGACACAAATACACTGGCCCTAAATTTCAGCCAATGCAACTAGAAAGTTAATAAGTACAGAAGACGTAAATTCAAAATGTAACAACTGGGGAAGCAAAGTTACCTGTCGTTCGACGGTCAATGGAGTATAACCTGTCATAAGAAAATGGCACCTTGGAGTAGGAATCAAGGAGGCAAGAAGGCCAGCCAGATCATTATTCATATATCCAGGATACCTCAGGGTGGTTGTGCTTGCAGACATAACAGTGGAAACCAAAGAGTTTGTTTGTGCAAAAGTAGGATTTGCTAAATGAAGACGTTCAACAGCAATTCTGTTAAGAGCCGTATTGTCAAGAACAACCACACAGTCAGCATTCAGTGTCAGCCGCTTCAGAGTTAAAAGGGAGTTGTATGGTTGGACAACAACATCACTCGTTTCCATCTGGTTTGGAAAGACACTATATGTCTGTACAAGCTTCTTACTGTATCGATCATTTAGGGTCTCCAGCACATAAGAACCCATACCTGAACAAGGGCAACATGGACTGCATTAGACAATTAAATAAAATACTAGTACATAGTGAACAACATGATAGACACTCTTGCAATACATCTATTAACAAAGAACTAAGAAGGAATGATAAAGTGAAAAGGGAGGAATCAAACTACGAGAGCCAGTTACCTGAACCAGTTCCACCAGCAATGGAGTGGCATAAAACAAAACCCTCAAGGCTATCACTTCCATCTGCTTCTCGATCTACCATGTCCATGATATCATCAACGACTTGTTCGCCCTAAAATTTAAGAATAGGATAAAGCATTAATCTAAAAGGTCTACTGGTATCTGAAATGCAAAATGCAGAATTGGCTTATGGACATGACACAATAGAAAACCTGTACTGTTTGTAAGCTTATAGTAACAATTATAAGTCTACTGGATGAAAACCAAGACACAGAGATGCAACTGCACCTGATGATATCCACTAGCCCAATTGTTTCCGGCACCACCACCATGCTCAGACAAATATATATTCTCGTGGTTGAATAGGTTCTTGTACTCGCTGTTCTGTATTCCATTGATCACTCTTGGTTCTAGATCCATAAGAAGAGCCCTGGGTATGTAGTGCTGATCATCCGCCTGGTAGAAAAAAACATCCTTCCTGTCTCCTCCCTGCAGAGAAAACATCTCTATGACTCATCTTAACCCAGCTACAAGCATAGGCAAGATACATGGAAGCAACAGATGATGCATCCATTGATTTTGTACAAAAACAGAAGTACTTGGATACCAGGTTCACTCTGGCATAATCAAGCATCTATGACCCTCATGTTAACCCAGCTACCAGCATAGACACCATAAATGAAAACAGCAGATGATGCATCAATTAATTTCGAACAAAAATATAAGTAGCAAAATACTTGGATACCAGGTTCACTTTCTGGCATAATCAAGACGCATTCTCGCCAAAGTATTTCTCAAGGTTCTCAGATGCTGTTCCCGTTGGGTTTGGTATGACTTATATGTACACTCATATGTACCAAATAGCTTTCTTGTGACTGAAGACGCCCTGCATTTAACATGCATTTTGGCACTGTGCCTTGTTCATGAATAACAAAATTCCCTGAAGAAACGACTGTTACACTCCAAATCAAAACTAACAGCAGCTATTGTGTTGACTGAAATTTATTAAGGTTCGCCTTTTAGGGTGAAATTGTTAAATTACAATACTAGCACTTAAGTTACAGGCCTATCAGGTTGAGAAACGTAACCACGCGCCATTTGACTAAACCCTGAAACTCATGTACTAAAACACCGTGCCCCAACGAGGAACAGATCGAACACACCGCGGCGCTCGCTGAACCAAAGCAAACCAGCGGCGGAAAAAAGGCCACCACCGAGCGAGCGATAGCGTCGAGCCGCCGGATCGGGCGGCGAAGAGGGAGAGAGGGAGCAAGGGGAAGGCGTGCGGCGAGGGCGAGGGCGGACCTGCGTGGCGAAGTCCTCGAGGAGGCCGTCCTTGCCGATGCCGTGCTCGAGGCAGAGCTGCTTCCAGAACTCCATCCCGATCTGGTTCCCGCATTGCCCCACCTGTATCGTGATGATCTCGCGCGGCATCTCGTCGTCCTCCTCCTGCTCCGGCGGCGGCGGATGCCGCGGTTAGGGTTACCGCCTCGTGGGCGACGGGGAGGGCGGTGGCGGAGGCGGAGGGGGTCGTGGGGCTCGGCCGGCGGCGCGTGTGGTCTAGGGTTTTGGGGTTGCTTCGTTTGGGCGTAAGGGCTGGCTGAGCCGTCCACCAACTGCGAGTGCCCTGGAGTGGAGTCGCTGGAGGGAAGTGGTGTGGTGGGGGGTGGAAGCGGGAGGTGACGAGACGGAGAAACAGGAAGGGGAGACGGGGTTTCGGGGATGGAAGTGGAACAAAATGCGAGAATGCGCGCAAATTTCGAATTTTCAGGTGCGCCGGATTCGTGCGATTTTTTCGGCAGAGTATAATGGGAAAAGGTGGATATCGATTCATATACCTTTTTCTTCATCATTACTACTCCCTCTATTCCAATTTACTCGTCGTGGTTTTAGTTCAAACCGAGGGAGTAGTATATAATAATCAAAGTCCATTTTCCTGGTCCTTTGGATCTAGATCCAATGGTCATCATCTTCCTCCTATCCCACTCAGCGGGCGGGCTTTTTGCCCACGAGCCGCATTGCTACCGCATAGCATCACTGCCTACCTCGATCAAACCCCTGCCACTATCGATCATATCGCCGCATGCTCATCTCTCTAATCTCAACCCAAGGTTTGTTCTCTGCCACCGGTGAGCTACTAGCATTAACCCCTACCTCCTACATCGACAAAGTCCCATTCCTCAACCACCAATGTTTGTTGTTGTCATGTTGTCGGTTATTTAGCATGGCTACCATAACCACTTTGGTGAGGTCTCATTCATTAGCCTCACCACCATCATTGTTGTCGTGCAATTGGCAGCTCTGTCTTGCAATTCAACGACATCTGAGAATGAGGTTGCCTATGTTCAAGAAAAACTTAGCCGGCTGGCTGAAGAATTGATCAGGAGAAAATGGTCGCATTGTTGGGATAAATGATTGCATTGCCTCGCTTTATTTTTGTCCTATAACACTGGTTTGTCCTCTCTATTAGGTACTTCCTCCATTTTTATTTAGTTCGCATATTAGCTTTGGTCAAAGTTAAGCTTTACAAACTTGGACCAAGTTTATAAACAAAATATTAAGATATACAATAACAAATCAACAATATTAGATTTATTATTGAATGTACTTTTATATCGTATAGATTTATTATGTTAACAAATTTGATCAAACTTTACAAAGTTTGACTTCAGTCAATTCTAATATGCAAAGTAAATAAAAACAGAGGGAGTACAAACTTCTATTGATGAATGGACGATACTTACAAAAGCCTCTTTTGTGTTTTTATAACCTCTTTTCTTGGTGTAATGACATTTATCTTACCTGTCATTTTAATTTAAGGTAAATATATATTTTTGCAAGTAAATCAATTAGGGACAGCTTACGGAGTCTTTTTTTAAAGTAAATATTAGTAATTACTCGCTCCGTCCCATAATATAAGAACGTTTAAAAAACGTTCTTATATTATGAGACAGAGGGAGTATGTTTTACAAATCAAGTCCACTTGTTATAACTTTTTTTTGTAATCATTGGATATTTTTCGAACATTTTAGTACTTATGGCACGACAACTTGCACCAAATCTGCATCCAAAAAACTGGAGTTTATATGGCAGTACTTAAGACAGCAGAGTTTGGAGTCCTTCAACCTGCAAACTTCTTTTCAGACATCATCCTGCTGAACTGAGCAGTCTTAAAATACATCGCGGCGACAACGCCGATTATTTGAAGAACCCTGGCTAGACTTACAACTCAATAGGTGAAACAACAAAGAAATGAAGGCAACAAGAACCAAATCACCACCCCATGACTAATAATAATATCTGAACACGCTACAAAATGTGTAACTATATTTTCCCTGGGCACCATGATGTGGCACCAGCAGGCTGCAAAAGCTCCTTGTCAGGCTAGGGTTGCCGATCTCGTTGCGGGGAAGACAGCAGGCTCGTGATGAAACTAAGGACCTTCAAGAGCGGCTGGGGTGGATGATTTGGCTCACGCTCCTGCCCGTCTTTAGGCTGCAACTGGTTCATTTACAGAATGAGAGACACCTGAATTAACCTGTTGGGAAAGAAAGCATGGCTTACAGCTGTTCAGAGTCATGGCCCGAGAATTTTTCTAAGCGGCTGAATAGTGAACACATCGATCTGTACCTTGGCCGCTTTGAAGAGTTCGTCGAGCACTTCGGATAATGTTGGGTGTGCATGGACAGCAAGCTTAAGTTCCTGCGTGGTGGAGGCGATTATGTGTTACTATAAACTAAACTGCTAAACAATGGAAAGGAGTGAAGGAAAATATCAACTATACTCACTTGCAACCGAGTTCCTAGGGCAATGGCATTTGATGCCTCATGGATGAGGTCAGCAGCGTGCAAACCCAAGATGTGAACACCAAGAATTTCTCCCGTGTCAGGTCTGTAGATCATCTACAAAGAGGGACAAACATTGTCGAACTCAAAATATGTCAGTGGATGCAACACATGCAAAACTGTGATCCCCAAGGGCAAAGTCTGAAAACAATGCAACAAGTAGAAAATTTAATGTTAAAACAGAATCACCTTAGCAATTCCATCGCCTTCATTTTCTGCCAAAGCTTTTGTGTTGGCCTTAAAACTGGTCTTAACAACACTTACCTCAAATCCTTCGTTGTCAGCCTTTTCTCTGGCTTGTGGCTGCAACATATTCAACACACGCTGGTCAAATGTTTTTCTCTTTTCAAGATACAGTACATATCAAATGCAGTAACAGAATGCATTAAATTATTTCCATTAAAGAAAAATATATAATGTTTTTTTAGTATAGATGGAAAATGCATGAACAAGACAGAACTAGGAGTTAAGATCTTCAACTTACCTCTGTCAGCCCAACCATACTGATTTCTGGATGAGTGAAACAAGCGGCTGGGATGCTTAAATGGTTTAGAATGTGGTCCCTCCCAGAGATTTGCTCAACGACTACATATTCATAGAATTACACATTACACAACTATAGCAACCAGCACCCATAGTAGCAACAACACAAGTGCATGTATCAACAACTTCGGAAGTACCTGAGATTCCCTGTGCACTGGCAGCATGGGCAAGCATGAGTTTACCATTCGCATCTCCAATGCAAAATAAATTCGGCACCTACAGCATATCATATGTTAAATATCCAAACGGGCCATTGGGAGACAATTGTTCAGTGTAGCAATTTGTTTTTGCAACATACCACATTGCCATCAGCATCCGTGACTTGCATCCGCTCATCAACAGGAATAAAACCACGCTGTGTAACAACATTAATCTGAAGAAAAAACAAATTATATCCATGACTAATAAAACTGCAGCATTTTCTTCTGATAGTTACACTTTCAAGTACTCACATTTTCCAAGCCAAGTCCGTTGGTGAATGGTGCTCTTCCAGTGGCTATAAGGGCTGCATCCACCTACACACACAAATTTCCACTCTCACATAAAAGCCATTGTCGAAGTGCAGCAAATATGTTGTTTATATTTCCAACTTACATGAATGAACTAAGCAAGAATCGTCAAAATAAATAGTCAATATATTGCCAAGTGCGGCATGGAAGATATGTAGCAAGAATTTATTCGATTAAATCATCCATCACAAGATGATAGAAATAGTCAAAGCGTGCATGTGTTGTACCCTAGTAAAAACATAACCAGAAGAACTGCAATTGTAACACCTGTATACAAGAACAAAAATATATTTAAAATGTAATTTACCTCAAGGGTTTCTTTGTGTTCCTTCGTTTTGGCATCAATGAGTTCAATCAACACAGGCTTTCCATCCTTTGCCGGAGTAATCTTGAGGCAAATGCATCAACAATTCAATATACATATAATGCATGATGAATATATTTATCTAAAGATTCTACTGTGTGAGAAAGTTAAGAGTGGATGGTGAAATTAACCTTGCTTGCAAAAACACCAGTGTGATAGTCAATTTTCCTTGGATTGATAAGGACTCTCTGAGCCAATTTTGCGATTTCAGGATCAAAACCAGGCATCAGCTGGTCAAGAGCTTCAACAAAGGTAACCTGCTCAATCAAAATTGTGTAACTTTAGGCCATACATTACAATACAATTCAGCATACACCTGTAAGCAGCAGTTGGTCCAAACATTTTGCTACAACATCTAACAGAATCCTCAAGCACTTTGTGAAGTCGAATATGGTGTGAGTTCTGCATGCCAGTAAAATAATAATAACATATGCAAAGCAGGTGTAACAGATCCACTGATACAAGAAATAAAGATGCAAATGATAGGAATCTTTTGCAAGTAATCATGTAACCAGTAACCATGTTTCTGCATTGAATGAAGTGAGTGCACGGGAACACTATCAGATATATTCAGACATTCCTAAAACATGATTAAATCCACTCCAAATTTGTTGACAGCAAGAATTTTCCGTTACCTCGCTTCCTAGAGCTGTGTACACATCGCTGAATTCAAGTCCAATATAACCACTTCCAACAATAGCTATCCAGTCCGGAACTGATTCAAGTTTTAATGCATGATCACTAGTAAATACAGTCTTGCCTGCACAATAACAAACAGTATTAGAGAAATAAAACAAGAAATGATAATCAATACAATGTGCTTGCAATAAGTGTGTCAAGATACGTGCAATGGAGTCGACAATTGTTGGAAATGGCTACAGTTTTTTTTTTGTATTATATTTTGCTTCGTATCACTTAGAGAAACAAAATGTACTCCACTTCAATTAAACTCGAGGACAATTGGAACATTACAAAACAATTAAAAAGGAAAAACTGCATCAACATAAGCTACCACAGCTAAATCTGAAGTGTATACGAAAAATGGTCATCGTACTACATTATTAGCATAGCTTACATGTCTGTTTTCTGTTCTTAGTTTGCAGGTTGGAGTTGAACCGAAATTTTAATCAATACGATCAGTATGGAAAAAGATTGTGAATATCAAATCAGTAGTGTAATTAATCTAGAAGAATGATCCATCAAGAGAAGAATCAGCACTTACCGTCAATTTCTATGCCCTTGGGAACAAAAGGAACTGATCCAGTGGCAATGATGATGTTCTTTGCAGTGATTTCTTTTTCTGGAAAACCTACTTTTCCATATCGTACCTTTTGCTTTCCCTGATCACATCATGGACGGAAATAAGTAAATCAATAAACGAAATTCTGATGGTTTGAATACATGCACTTTTGTATGACAATTCCTGCATGGTAGGGCTGTAAACAGAGAACAACAAGAAAACCTTTAAATCCCAAACATGTTGTGGTAGGCTAGAGTTGAAACCCATACGATCTCGAAACCTAGTTATGGTTTTGGCACGTGGATAGCTAACTTCCACACACCCCTGTCCATGCTATCACCACAAACAGAGGCAAACATATTCCATGCTATCACCATAAACAATAGATCATGATATATCATTTACGACCCAACTGGTTGAATCAAGCAGTTGCGCTTGCAGTCATTATATGCCTATCTCGGACATTCAGTGGCTCCAAAACTAGCTAAAACTCGGCTTTCCTTCAGCAATCAATGGAAAGTTTGGCGAAATCAACAAGCATGCATTAGACATGCAAATACATTTCCAGATACTGTCAGCGACCTTTTATGTCAGGCTTGTTTGTAGGATATGCAATCAAAAAACTTTAGCATATGTAATTCATCAAGAAGTATTAGCTTACAAAGGTTGCTAGAATTTGTATACAACTAAAAAACTTCTAATTGTACACGCATCAAATAAATGATTTACAGAGGACATACCACAATTTTGCCAAATCCAGTTAATATATCCACTCCCATAGCCTTCATTGAATTAGTCAAGTTGCTTCGGATTTTGGAGGCAAGATTATTTGCATGATCGGCAACAGCTTGTCTGTCATATCCAGTTGAAGAAACCTAATACAAGCCAGAATATGTTCAACGATTAATTGATTATGCAGGACAAATGATGTAACATGGAAGAATGAAAAGGCAGCACATGCCGACAGGAAATGGTTGTAACTTGCAAGTATAGAGCATACTTTTGGTAAAATGTACTCCCTCCATGATAAAGGGCAAACTAAACATATAGAAAACTCAAAGCAATGTGAAGAACAAAAAAGGGAAGATTAATAGAATTGACATGGACTTCTTAGAAATAGTTATCAAGGGGCTATACACTTCATGAGGTAAGTGTGAAACAGGCATTCTGAAATTCACGCTGTTTATCTTCCTATGCTTACTGTTGAATTGTTGACTTTGTGAACCTACTCAAATACTCCTGATGCCTAGCAATATGCATGTAGTTGTAACACATTCTATGACCTGTTTTCAACCCATCATCATCGCATCCAGTTATACCTGCAGACCCAGGGACTTCATGTGATGTTCATCATGAAGCTCTCTCATCCGACCACTGACAGCAAGAAGTGCTTTGGACGGAACACAGCCTCTGTTCACACAGGTCCCACCCACAACGTCTCCCTCGATAATGGCGGTTTTCAACCCCTGCACCAATTGGGCAACATAAAAACATGAAGAAATGAGAAGTAGTGATGGAAGCAATGTCAGACATACTGATAATTCTGTAAGCTTCTTTGCTTGTATGTTATAGAAGGAATAGAAGTTCAGAACAAAAAGATGGGCATAATTCTATTTCTCGGTTATATCACAAATGTGGAGAAGGTTGACTAACTTCAACAATCCAACTACACTGCCAACAGGTGTGTCAACATCCAGTCCAAAGATGGACAAACACTAGAACAACTGATCAGTAACTAGTCGCTGGTGCTGTAAAGAAGTTTTCATTTATTTCAAGTGTGTAAGTCGCTAATTATACATTCCACCCATTTGTGCACACTGAAATTAAAAAAAAATAGTTCGACCAACTCAAAGAGACCTCGATTTAACATATCACGACACGGGGGGCACTGCAGCTACTGCATGAAATCATCGAGCAGAACATAAACATCAACACTATGTTCAAACAAAATTTCCAGCTCCAACACCAGTTGCTGATCAGAGCTTGCAAATTAAATACTAAGTTCCAGCAGAGTATGAAAAGTAACGTGGTCTAACTCTGACAAGTTGACAGAAAATCATGAACACAGGCAGCACTGACCTCCTCCACGGCGTGGAGCGCGGCACCGTGACCACCAACGCCGGCTCCGATGATTACGAGGTCGTAATCGAACCCGTCGCCGCTCCCCGCCGCGCCGTTCGCCGACGCAGCCGCCCTCAGCACCGCGCGCCTGGTGGCCGCCGCGGCGTGTGAGGCCCGCAGCGAGCCGCACGCGAGAGCATCTCCCCGGAGCCCGCAGAACCGGATCTCGCCGGGCCGGCGCCCCGCCGCCGCCTTGGATCTGGCGCCTCCGCTGGCGATCGCCGAGGCGGAGGCCGAGGCGGAGATGGAGACGGAGTGCATGGCGAGGCGAGAGGCTGGCTAGGAGGCTCGCGCTCGGGGCGTGTGTGGTATGAAGGGGAGCGGGCAAGCGCGGGCGGAGATGGCGAGAGTGGAGTGTGGCTATGCTGGCCTTGGGGGTTTACGCGAGGGGCGGAGGATTCGAAGCGGGGAGGAGGCGGAGGAAAAGAAGACGGCGCTGCGAGGTGGGGTCCATGCTTGACAAGAAAAACAAGGCACTCTCCATGACCGTTCGATTCGTTCCTCCTCTATCGCGATGTTAGGAACTGCGACATTGATGTTCCCACCGCGACCCCACGCAAATAAGCGGCAATGATGTTGTGATCGGACAAGCGCCGCACTGTGCGGCGATGTTGTACCGACAACGCTCTATAACACCGGTCGCAGCACCGTCCCCCCCCCCCTCCTTCGCAACACCAATGATACTACATTGCTTACGCTCTACAACAGCCTACAACGGCAATGTGTAGCACCCTGGGGTCACACAACCTGCACGTGAGGCAATGGACAGGGCGAGGTCGTTGCCGCCCAACGATGGCATGCCTTTGGCACTTTATCTGAAGGCACTAGTCTCGACCACAAATATGTGATTCATCCGTCGTCTCGTGGCGTTGGCGCCTTCTCTTGCCCAGTCATGTGAGTTATCTGCGCTTTGGTTTGCCTTTGATCGTCTTGTTAGGTGACGATGGTTTTAGTATGGTTTATTTTCTCGGTGTTGGCTATCGCAATAATTTGGTTGGGATTGGGGTTGGTCATTGCTCCTTTCAATGGTCACTGGTCTCGCAATGTGTGATGATGGTCCCTGGTAGACGACTTGGTCCATTCCGTTTGTCGAACAATGAAAATGGAGGGAGGGGCTAAGCGAGGCGGCGATCTAAGGAAGGCAATTGAAATTGAGCTCCAGGTTTCAGATCGCTAACATAACATGGAGCCTGTTTACCTGGGGATGTCTATGGAGGCGATATAAGAGATATGTTTTGTCTCTAACAGCTTCTGTATGGGTAACGGGCGTCGATCGTGTTAACTTTAGATATATTGTTGGTTCATGTGTCCTCAGAATGGTTTGTATCGGGCACATTTGGCTGTTGTGCACCAGGTTGGATTATAATCTGCTCGCCTGGCGAGTAGTCTTGGTTTGTTGTTTTCGGACCCGATTCTGACCACTTTTCGTGCACTGATGGTGTCCGGATGTGACATCACTTGGGAGGCTGGTTCTCGGTATCTTCGGGTCGTAGTCCTGTACTCTTGTTTGCGCAGTTCTGTTGTTTGGTGTTGTCTGGTCGCCGTGCATCCATGTAACGAATATAGCACGATAATAGTCACGTGTATCATGTTTTGTGAATGATTTCGCTTGGAGGAAAAAGGAACTAATGGAGGTAGAGCGTATTTCATCTCTGCCTCATCGTTATTGGTGACTTCATAAAGTTCATTTTAAAAGTCTAGCAAGGCATTTGTTCAGCCGGACCGTAGCACTAAAAGACTGGGCTGACACCCCAAAACAGATCGCTCATGCGTGAGTGCCACGCTTGGCGTGCGTGTAGGTCGCACTCTGACGAGTTGTTTTGTTATTGTTAGGTGGCTGTCGAGTTCTAGTGCGACCTCTTTCCATCACGCTCCCTTGGTTGGATGGTGTGCTTTGGGATGTCTACCCGGTATTTAGACTGTGTCCCGAGTTGTCTCGGTTGTCTCGACTCCGATTCCGATGGTTCGGGTCGTGGTGTCATGTGATGTGCAGTCATCCTTTTTATTGACCCCGGCTGTTTGGGTTGCCCTGTGCTACTTGTGAGTTGTGTTGGGATTTCTCCGAAGAGGAGAGGATGATGCAGTACAATAGAGATAAGTATTTATCTTAGTTAAGAACCAAGGTTATCAATCCAGTAGGAGAACCAAGCAACACCTCGTTAGCAGTACCTGCACACAAAATAACAAAATACTTGCACCCAACGCGCACAAGGGGTTGTCAGTCCCTCAATGGTTAATTACAAAGGTTAAATTTGTAGTGATAGATAGATAAATAAAATAAAGTAAAGAAAATTGCAGTAAGGTATTTGTTGGGGATATTCCCCACCACCAAGACCCGGCTCATAAGGATAAGCCGCCCTAAGGCTTAAGTCATTTCTGGGTTTAAGTCGCCCTGACATTAAGTCATCTCTGGACTTAAGCAGCCCTGTTAAGTCATTTCAGGACTTAACCCGATAGTTTCTAACCTAACAGATAATTGTAAGCCGGTAGACAATTTCTAACCCGGTAGATAGTTGTAAGTCGGCAGACAGGTTCTAACCCGGCAGACAGTTGTAAGCTGGCAGACAATTTTCTAACCCGACAGACAGTTATAAGTCGGCAGACAAATTGTGACCCGACAGATTGTAACCCGGCGGACAGATTGTGACCCGACAGATGCCTAGAGTCACGGAGAAGAGTCTCATAGATGAGTCGCATGGAGTTAAGAAGCCCAACGCGTTAAGAAGCCCACGGAGAGAAGCCCAAATGCGTTAAGAAGCCCACGAAGAGAAGCCCAAATGCGTTAAGAAGCCCACAGTGAGAAGTCAGAACAGGTTAAGTCTTAATCCGACTTGGACTCTACATGTAACCCGTCCCTTCAACTTATATAAGGAGGTGCGGGGCACCCCAAGAGGGAGGTTTGGACAGGTCTCAAGAGACAAGTTTTAGGGCTTAGACAGACAAGTCTTAGTCAACATCAAAGTAGATGCTCTCAAAATAGAGGTAGCGAAACACCACCCTTGTAACCGAGATCGTCATCATCAATGTCAATCAAGCAGGATGTAGGCTTTTACCTCCACCGTGAGGGGCCGACATATTGTCACTAGTATGCCTCTACTAGACTAGCTCATTAATCAAAGATGGTTATGTTTCCTAACCATAGACATGTGTTGTCATTTGATTAACAGGATCACATCATTAGGAGAATGATGTAATTGACATGACCCATTTCATTAGCCTAGCACTTGATCGTTTAGTATGTTGCTATTGCTTTCTTCATGACTTATACATGTTCCTGTAACTATGAGATTATGCAACTCCCGTTTACCGGAGGAACACTTTGTGTGCTACCAAACGTCACAACGTAACTGGGTGATTATAAAGGAGCTCTACAGGTGTCTCTGAAGGTACATGTCGGGTTAGCGTATTTCGAGATTAGGATTTGTCACTCCGATTGTCGGAGAGGTATCTCTAGGCCCTCTCGGTAATGCACATCACTATAAGCCTTGCAAGCAATGTAGCTAATGAGTTAGTTACGGAATGATGCATTATGTAACGAGTAAAGAGACTTTCCGGTAACGAGATTGAACTAGGTATTGGATACCGACGATCGAATCTCGGGCAAGTAACATACCGATGACAAAGGGAACAATGTATGTTGTTATGCGGTTTGACCGATAAAGATCTTCGTAGAATATGTAGGAGCCAATATGAGCATCCAGATTCCGCTATTGGTTATTGACCGAGAATAGTTCTAGGTCATGTCTACATAGTTCTTGAACCCGTAGGGTCCGCACGCTTAACGTTACGATGACAGTTTTATTATGAGTTTATAAGTTTTGATGTACCGAAGGTTGTTCGGAGTCCCGGATGTGATCACGGACATGACGAGGAGTCTCGAAATGGTCGAGACATAAAGATTGATATATTGGAAGCCTATATTTGGATATCGGAATGGTTCCGGGTGAAATCGGAATTTTACCGGAGCACCGGGGGGTTACCGGAACCCTCCCGGGGGTTATTGGGCCTTCATGGGCCCTAAGGGAGAAGAGGAGAGGAGGCAAGAGGTGGGCTGCGCCCCTCCCCTCCCTAGTCCGAATAGGACAAGGAGAGGGGGCGGCGCCCCCCCATTCCTTCCCCTCTTCCTCCTCATTCCCCCTTCTCCTTATCCAACTAGGAAAGAAAGGAGTCCTACTCCCGGTGGGAGTAGGACTCCCCCTTGGCGCGCCCTCCTTGGCCGGCCGCCCCTCCCCCTTGGCTCCTTTATATACGGGGGCAGGGGGGCACCTCTAGACACAAGTTGATCTTCGTGATCGTTCCTTAGCCGTGTGCGGTGCCCCCCTCCACCATATTCCACCTCGGTCATATCGTTGCGGTGCTTAGGCGAAGCCCTGCGTCGGTAGAGTATCATCATCGTCACCACGCCGTAGTGCTGACGGAACTCATCCCCAAAACCCTGTTGGATCGGAGTCCGAGGATCGTCATCGAGCTGAACGTGTGCTGAACTCGGAGGTGCCGTACGTTCGGTGCTTGGATCGGTCGGATCGTGAAGACGTACGACTACATCAACCGCGTTGTCATAACGCTTTCGCTTATGGTCTACGAGGGTACATGGACAACACTCTCCCATCTCGTTGCTATGCATCACCATGATCTTGCGTGTGCGTAGGATTTTTTTTGAAATTACTACGTTCCCCAACAGTGGTATCAGAGCCTAGGTTTTATGCGTTGATGTTATATGCACGAGTAGAACACAAGTGAGTTGTGGGCGATACAAGTCATACTGCTTACCAGCATGTCATACTTTGGTTCGGCGGTATTGTTGGATGAAGCGGCCCGGACCGACATTACGCGTACGCTTACGCGAGACTGGTTTTACCGCCGTGCTTTGCACACAGGTGACTAGCGGGTGTCTGTTTCTCCAACTTTAGTTGAACCGAGTGTGGCTACGCCCGGTCCTTGCGAAGGTTAAAACAGCACTAACTTGACAAACTATCATTGTGGTTTTGATGCGTAGGTAAGAACGGTTCTTGCTCAGCCCGTAGCAGCCATGTAAAATTTGCAACAACAAAGTAGAGGACGTCTAACTTGTTTTTGTAGGGCATGTTGTGATGTGATATGGTCAAGACGTGATGCTATATTTTATTGTATGAGATGATCATGTTTTTGTAACCGAAGTTATCGGCAACTGGCAGGAGCCATATGGTTGTCGCTTTATTGTATGAAATGCAAATGCCCTGTAATTGCTTTACTTTATCACTAAGCGGTAGCGATAGTCGTAG